AGGAATGCCATTTCAGCTTTTTGTAGGGGGAAGAACTTCAATTGTGTTATCCGCAACTATGTAGATATCTGAGTTGTTGTTTTTTGCAGTTAACTTAGAAACTGACAGGTGCAGTGCATCTCATTCCTATATAAAGAGAGGAAAAAATATATATCCACCAAGCAAGTTGAGGAAATTTCAAGTTTGTTTTTGTGGAAAGGAATTTTTGCTGTTTGTGGGCTGCTAACATCTTTCACAAAGGATTTGTTCTTTCTTCATTGATTGAGGTGGTCATCAGCAGAAATACAGACCCATGAACTATCACTGGATGGTGTCCAGACTTTTTAAATGTATAATTCTGAAAATTCTACTCAACTATTTTTTTTAGGTGAAAGGCCTTATTTGTGTGACTATCCAGATTGTGGGAAAGCCTTTGTTCAGAGTGGACAGCTGAAAACACACCAGCGTCTCCACACAGGAGAAAAGCCTTTTGTCTGCTCAGAAAATGGTAAGGCATTAGAAAATAACTGGCAGTATTTAGAATATGGGCAAATTGGGCTGTAATATTTCAGGGGTTAAAATAGCTTTAAATTCCATACGGGTACTAGTGTATGGCAACTCCCCGGGGTGGGAGGGGGACCCACAGAGACAGAAGGTTGCGGGATCTATACGGGTACTAGTGTATGGCAACTCCCCGGGGAGGGGGAGACCCACAGAGACAGAAGATTGCGGGGAGGTGCCAGATGACAGTATCTGGAAGAAATTTAATTGTGGGATGGAGTATGAGGGGGCTCAGGGCAAGAAGATTGCGGGAGGGGAGGGGAGGAGGAGAGCTGGGAGTTTGTCAGCTGAATACTTGAGGCTGGACCTGGGTGTGCTATGGCTGAGTCACATAGGGACTGTGGGTGCTGGCTCAAGTCCACTGGGGCTGGGCAATTACCCTGAATGTCCTACAAGGAGGCTGAGGATGATAGGGGAGTGGTTGTTTAGGTTTTTGTGAAGGAGGAGGGTAGAAGGGAAGGGAGGGGCTCACCATGATTAGTACCTGCACGGAAACCTTTTCCTTGTACAGCGGCCAACTGCATCCATAGCCCTGCTTCCAGCTGGCCACTCTGAACTCGTGTGTAGAATCACTTTTGTAGTAGTACCATTCTCATGTGCTCTGTATCTGAATTTTAAATACTCTTTTCAAGGGAAGGGGGAATAAATCTGTGTGCAACCACATAAATTTGTTACTTTTAAGAACCTGCTTGTAAATTATAATCTGATATTTAAACAAACTTTTTTTTGGTTATAAGGTATTCCTGCTTGTAAATTATAATCTGATATTTAAACAAACTTCTTTTGGTTATAAGGTATGCAGAATTTTCCACATTTTAGAGAGGAAAGACAGTTTCTTCAATTTTGGGCTTATATGTTAAGTGACTATTTTTCTTAAATATTTCCTTGCTTTTTTTTAAATTAAGGATGTTTAAGCAGATTCACACATGCAAACCGTCATTGCCCCAAGCATCCTTATGCAAGGCTGAAGAGAGAAGAACCTACAGGCAGGCTGAGTAAAAAACAAACAGCTGATAATAAAGCAGTTGCTGAGTGCCTAACAAAGTAAGTAGTTTGTTTTTAAAGACTGTCCATCATTATTTCTCTAGTCATCATGTTTACCTCGCAGTTCTTGAATGTAATAATTCCTGCACAGTTATGCCACAAGAAGGAATTAATCTATTAGATGGAATTTCCATAGAGCCTCTAAGAGAAAAGGAAAATCATCATTGTCATCAGATACTGACAAAACTTTCACTGGCACAATTGCCCCAACTCAACGTTTTTCTTCTAAGCACTTCTGGGGACATAAATTCTCAGAACATTCTTAATATTTCCTCCATGGTTACACAGATGTCTCATTTTGATTAATGTGCCACTGCAAGTTCTATAGAAGCATTGTATTCCAAAGATGATAAATACGCTTCCTCTGTCCTTCATTTTTTTTTTTAAATTTCTGGTTGAATGATTTCCACTGTTCCCTAGTGTGCTATTTGTTTAAATTCCAGAGTTTAGAATTAGCTTCCCCAGTGGTAGTTGCTTCAACTTTCTTTCTTTTTTTAATTGAATGGGTTTCTTAGACTTTTCTTTTCCTTCTCACCTTTTCTTCCTTCTCTATACACTTCTTCTTTTGTATGGCTATTTGCTTATTTACAGAAGCTGTTAGTACAGTGTGCCCTTTAGTGCTGTAGTGCTCATGTTGAATATGCACTTGTCAGGGAAGGTTGTGATAGGTGCAATAAGAGCTGATTTCCTTCTTTGGAGAGACGGTGGTGGGCAGTGATTTGTGAGGTTTGAGTTGAGTTCAATTGCTGACTGCCACAAACTTCTAAATAATTTAATCTTAGTTTTTGAGACATTAATTTCTATCTGTAAAAGGGGGATAACAATACTCAGTATCTCCTTGTCTTTGAGACAGTTAAGAGTTGTGGTGTTTTTCAGGATTGAGGGCCCCCCCTGCCCCCCCCCCCAAGGTATGCTCCAGTTCAAACAGGAACTATTTCAAGGAAGTTCTCTGACCTGTATGTGTGTAGGAGATCAGACTAGATTATCACAGTGGTCTTTCCAAGCCTTAGATTGTATGACAGAGACGTGGAAGCAACTTGTAAAAAGGATGTGTGTTACGGCAGGGAGCTGAATACCTATTGACATCTTCTGCAGTGGAAAGCTTTATTTTTTTTAAAGGCTACAAAAAAGGACTGAAAAATTAATAATTGGAGTGAAATAAATGATCCAGGGAGGTTTATGATTGTGGTTTAAAAGATTCTTGTCTGCTTTCAATGACACTTCTTGTGCAAGTTGGTGGTTGCTTATAAAATATGTACAACTTTTGATTTTACAGGTACTGGGAGACCAGAGAGCAACGCACTCCTACTTTGAAAAGCAAAACAACTCAGAAAGCTGACCAGGAACAGCAAGATCCCATGGAATATCTTCAGTCTGATGAAGAGGATGATGAAGAAAAAAATAGGTCTCCCTCAGCTGCCCGCCGCCGCCTTCAGGAGCAGCGTGAACGCCTGCATGGTGCACTGGCTCTTATTGAGCTTGCAAATCTGGCTGGAGCACCACTGCGACCGTAGCATAGGAACTGAATCAGCCAGTATACAAAATGTACTGCCTTGTGGTACTTAACCAGTTAGATCCTGGGCATAAGCTAAGCACCTTATTTGCTTATCATAGGCTGCTATTCTGTAGAATTTATGAAGAATGTTGTTGCTCCACAAGGTGGAGTGAGAGAATTGCACTTTTTTGTATGGTAAAAGACAGATGTAAAGTTTTTAAGTATTTTGTAAATATGGGACTGCACAATGCAGGGTCAACAAATTGCATATTGTGGAATGTTAGATTTTTTGCAAGGTTAATTCATTCATTTGAAGCAGTTCTCACAGGAAGCACTTTCTGAACATAATGCTTGTATGATTAGGAAAATTGTACAGGTGACACAAGAATAATATTTATCTATTTAAACAAAATTTACATGTAGTACATTTGTTAATACTATAAGCAGTGATGCAACCAAGTCTTTAATGGCAGTATATTTTACCTAGTATCACTGAGAAGAGGCCAAAGCTTCTAACTCGTGGTGGGGAAGAAACTGGTTATGTAGAAACTAAGACAGTTCAGGATCTTCACTGTGACTGCCCAAAGTATGAGACTGACTTTGCTATCATATTTTAGAGTTGAGATTTCAATAGAATTTCTTGGTCTGAGTAGCACTTGTTATTCCTAGCATGTTATGTTGGGAACTTTTGCACATTGTTGGGCTTATTTGAAAATGAATGATTAGTCTTGCAAAGTCTAAACGTAAAGGTAACAATTGGTAATATTTCTCAGATATTTTGGACCCTGTAATGAGATTTGGCACTTGTTTTGTTAATAAAGGGGGTATTTACAGGGTGGTATTGATTTGTAGTAAACTATTTAGACCTCTTATTAGCTAACACTAAGTTTTAAAAATACTGCTTTTATATGAATATTAGCAAATAGAAGCCTCCATATTCTTTAAGTGCATAAAGCCACCTTATTGCTTTACTTCAGGATAAGACATCCAGTTTTTGTGTTCACTAAGTGTAGTACTGCTATCAGTTAAACACTGCAGAAGAATATTTGCTGTTCAACTATAAAATAGGCTTCCAGAGATAGTTGCAAGTGTGGGTTTTTTTTTTTTAAATTGTGTGGTTTCATATATCTTTCCCAAATAAATGAAGTTACAGAACACCGCTTCGTGATCTCAAGCACAAATTGAAAAGTAAGTTTAGCAGTACATCCTTATCACCTCATGTTTTATATTAATTTTATCTGACTTGCCATATAACAGGCTTGTCTAATGGTCTTATTTTGCCTTTCTTTTGATCAATATATAACATGCTAGCAGATTATTACAAAAAAAAATTAGTGAATTTGGCATGCTCCTGAATTTCTTTTTTAAAGTTGGGCTGCTGGTTTAGTGAAGATTGGGAAAAAAAATTCCAATTATTTTCCAAATAGACTCCTTTCTCTTATCACAACAAAACCAGAAAATATAGATGTGAATGAGAGCCATTTTTCGATTAGTGTGAGTGGGAGGGAAAAGGTAGTTAAATGACTTGTAAGTCATTTTAAAACTGATTTTGATGAGGACAGAAGTTTTGGAAATCTAACATCACAGCAGAGAATATAGCTCTTGAATTCATTTAGTCATCTTTTAATAACTGATGCCTATAATGGCATGAATTTTATTAACCTGGTACATATTAGAATTGTGTTGGAGCACTTAGCTAAAACATGGTCAGATATTTTAAGAGTTTGTGATTAAGAACTGCATTGGTAAGTCGAATAATTTTATATACTCATTTCCTTGTTAATTTATTATATTGACATCTTCTGCAGTGGAAAGCTTTATTTTTTTTAAAGGCTACAAAAAAGGACTGAAAAATTAATAATTGGAGTGAAATTAATGATCCAGGGAGGTTTATGATGGTGGTTTAAAAGATTCTTGTCTTCTTTCAATGAAACTTCTTGTGCAAGTTGGTGGTTGCTTATAAAATATGTACAACTTTTGATTTTACAGGTACTGGGAGACCAGAGAGCAACGCACTCCTACTTTGAAAAGCAAAACAACTCAGAAAGCTGACCAGGAACAGCAAGATCCCATGGAATATCTTCAGTCTGATGAAGAGGATGATGAAGAAAAAAATAGGTCTCCCTCAGCTGCCCGCCGCCGCCTTCAGGAGCAGCGTGAACGCCTGCATGGTGCACTGGCTCTTATTGAGCTTGCAAATCTGGCTGGAGCACCACTGCGACCGTAGCATAGGAACTGAATCAGCCAGTATACAAAATGTACTGCCTTGTGGTACTTAACCAGTTAGATCCTGGGCATAAGCTAAGCACCTTATTTGCTTATCATAGGCTGCTATTCTGTAGAATTTATGAAGAATGTTGTTGCTCCACAAGGTGGAGTGAGAGAATTGCACTTTTTTGTATGGTAAAAGACAGATGTAAAGTTTTTAAGTATTTTGTAAATATGGGACTGCACAATGCAGGGTCAACAAATTGCATATTGTGGAATGTTAGATTTTTTGCAAGGTTAATTCATTCATTTGAAGCAGTTCTCACAGGAAGCACTTTCTGAACATAATGCTTGTATGATTAGGAAAATTGTACAGGTGACACAAGAATAATATTTATCTATTTAAACAAAATTTACATGTAGTACATTTGTTAATACTATAAACAGTGATGCAACCAAGTCTTTAATGGCAGTATATTTTACCTAGTATCACTGAGAAGAGGCCAAAGCTTCTAACTCGTGGTGGGGAAGAAACTGGTTATGTAGAAACTAAGACAGTTCAGGATCTTCACTGTGACTGCCCAAAGTATGAGACTGACTTTGCTATCATATTTTAGAGTTGAGATTTCAATAGAATTTCTTGGTCTGAGTAGCACTTGTTATTCCTAGCATGTTATGTTGGGAACTTTTGCACATTGTTGGGCTTATTTGAAAATGAATGATTAGTCTTGCAAAGTCTAAACGTAAAGGTAACAATTGGTAATATTTCTCAGATATTTTGGACCCTGTAATGAGATTTGGCACTTGTTTTGTTAATAAAGGGGGTATTTACAGGGTGGTATTGATTTGTAGTAAACTATTTAGACCTCTTATTAGCTAACACTAAGTTTTAAAAATACTGCTTTTATATGAATATTAGCAAATAGAAGCCTCCATATTCTTTAAGTGCATAAAGCCACCTTATTGCTTTACTTCAGGATAAGACATCCAGTTTTTGTGTTCACTAAGTGTAGTACTGCTATCAGTTAAACACTGCAGAAGAATATTTGCTGTTCAACTATAAAATAGGCTTCCAGAGATAGTTGCAAGTGTGGGTTTTTTTTTTTTAAATTGTGTGGTTTCATATATCTTTCCCAAATAAATGAAGTTACAGAACACCGCTTCGTGATCTCAAGCACAAATTGAAAAGTAAGTTTAGCAGTACATCCTTATCACCTCATGTTTTATATTAATTTTATCTGACTTGCCATATAACAGGCTTGTCTAATGGTCTTATTTTGCCTTTCTTTTGATCAATATATAACATGCTAGCAGATTATTACAAAAAAAAATTAGTGAATTTGGCATGCTCCTGAATTTCTTTTTTAAAGTTGGGCTGCTGGTTTAGTGAAGATTGGGAAAAAAAATTCCAATTATTTTCCAAATAGACTCCTTTCTCTTATCACAACAAAACCAGAAAATATAGATGTGAATGAGAGCCATTTTTCGATTAGTGTGAGTGGGAGGGAAAAGGTAGTTAAATGACTTGTAAGTCATTTTAAAACTGATTTTGATGAGGACAGAAGTTTTGGAAATCTAACATCACAGCAGAGAATATAGCTCTTGAATTCATTTAGTCATCTTTTAATAACTGATGCCTATAATGGCATGAATTTTATTAACCTGGTACATATTAGAATTGTGTTGGAGCACTTAGCTAAAACATGGTCAGATATTTTAAGAGTTTGTGATTAAGAACTGCATTGGTAAGTCGAATAATTTTATATACTCATTTCCTTGTTAATTTATTAGGCCTCAAGCCTTTCTTAAAAAAAAAAAAAATTAAATAAAGCAAAGTACTCTGCTGTGGCTACCTGAGACGTTCTAACGACATACAACTACTTGGCAATTCACATGTAGTAGATATAGAACCTTTAAGACCAACACTGTTGGGCCTAATCTTTCAAGTAACTGGATATAGGCAGACCCCCTTACCCACATGGAGTTTCACTAACTTCAGGGGCACTCAGCGTGGACACAAGGATCTGTTAACAGCAACCAGTTGCAGAATCTGTCATGTGTAGGGGCTAGGGGGACCTGTTTTCCCGTCAACCAATTGCAATAGGTTCGACGCAGTTACAGAATTGGACGAAACTTTCTGCAAATTATTCAAAATACATTTTATTTACAGATAGATAAAATTTAAGCAGCATAACTAGTTTTCTGTAAATTATAAATTTTGGGAAAATTTTTGTATGATTGTTTGAGGTGTTGACTGCTTTTGGAGTATTTTTAACAATTTTGAAGTGTTCTGTGCTACATAAGTGCCAGTTGTAGTTTGGCATAACTTAACAGCAAAAGAGTTAAAGTGCTGTAACTTTTTAATATGTGCTCCAAATAAAAGTTGGTTTAATTTTAAGTTTAAAAACCAAGTGTCAGAAGTGGTAATTCTTCCTGTTTTTAACTCTATTATGTCAAGCAAGTTGCTCTTGACTCCCATGGTCCAATCACTTATAATGATTCCTTGACCCTTTAAAAAGGTTTATTTGACTGACTAATACACCATTGTGTTTACAAAGGTGAAACTTTTTCTACTTCTTAAAGGTACACTTAATATCCTAACATGAAATTGGGTTATTGACCCTCATTTACTGTACTTTGAATTCCAGATAATTCACTTAAATGAGAATCCTTTTTGGAGTAATTCTAGTAGCCCCAAATGACTAAGCATGGAGACAATACATTTTCTTGAAATAACTGCTGGTCATAAAGGACACTTCACTTGAAATTTACAGTTGATCCTCTGTTCATTTTCAAGTTCTTGCTCTTTGTCAGACAATGTTAGGTGTTGAAAGAGTATCCATATCTTTAGATTAAGGCAAGCTGTGGGCACTTAAGTATTCTGGACAATTCCAGGTATCCATGAGATTTTTTTTAAGTGGCAAGAATGGTTAATAACACTCTCTAGTTTCATCAGACTTTGTACTTGGTTTTCTTAGGGGATTGAATATTTTCTGAAGATAATTCATCAGACTTTGTACTTGGTTTTCTTAGGGGACAAAATTGGTGAATATTTTCTGAAGATAATTCTCTCCTGAATGAGCAGGAGGAAAGTTCACGTTGCCTTGAAGTGACTTTTAGAACCTTGCATATTTGCAGATACCGTTTCATATCCGGGGGTATCTGTGTCTGGATGTGGGTAGCTGTGGCTCATTTACTTACAAAATCTGAATCCGCATCCATATTTGCATCTGCACAGGACTCTAGTGACTTTTGTAAGTTACTAGTAAGTGTGGCAATTATCACAGCACCTACCCCCTAGGAACTGAATAGAGGTCACTGAAGAAATGGATAGTAAAAACTCCCATGCACTACTGATCAAGTCTGTAGCTAAAACAATTTCCAAAAATGAGCTTCTTAGGTTCTTCCCTCTTATAAGAAACCATCTACATGTACAACCCTGGAATTCATGTACACTGTCACTTTCTAGCAAGTTCTTTTTTGTGAGAATCTACAAATACAGGAAATTGCACAATTTTGTCTTTTTTTAATATTACAGTATCATGTGAAGAAGAGTTCTAAGTAAGTTCAAAAGCTACCCCTTTGCACCCAGAAATTGTTCTAATAAATTAGTTCACTCACTTTGCCTCTAGAGTACCTTCACAAATGTGATAAAGCTAAAAATTGTATCTGTACCACTTAAATGCTTTAAGTGGAGAAAAATGAATGTAGATGACCAAAACAATGATGTCATATTAATATTCAGATAGCAAGACAGTAGTAGCCAAGATTTCCTTCATGTGCTATTAGTGAGAATGAAATCCAGGAGCACTTACAAGGAGATTAAGTATAACGTATAAGTTACATAATGAATCAAAGTGGCCTATGCAGTATTACTAGCAATCAACTTGGTAATGCAGAATGACTGTGATGGGGTGCGGTCACAGAAGATGCCTTGGTCATGGGTGGGTTGCTTCCTGGATTGCTGACAAAGCCTCTACTGCTTGCCTTCCTGCTCTCTGGGGCTTCTCACCACTCAGTCCTGCTAGGCCCTTTCCCCCAGCCAGAGCACCAAGCTGTTACGCAGGGAACGCTGTAATGGTTATGAAATGAATTTGAATGTAAATAGGGCTCGCTCTGACTAAAGATATAATTGAACCTGAAGCAAGATATGCCTGATAGATCCTGTATCTTTATCACAGGCAAACAAAGTTTAGGGCCAAACCATATATTGAAAAGAATTTGGAAATGCAAACACAGGAACAACTTCAAATACAATCCACCCTATCCCTAAGAAAGAAGATAGAAAAGACCCTTAGACAACTAGGATATATGTTACAATCCTGCAGTCGGAGCTTGCAACTTACAACTCCTTGGCTATTTTGAAGCCTCAGAGGAGGACCTGTGAGGAGATCCCTCGAAGCAGTAGTCCCAGTCTTTTGACGTAGGGCTGTCAAGTGATCCTCAACCATATGGACGGTAGCTCTTCTCTGGATACGGTGGTGACTAACCCTTCAGTAAGGTCACCCGCGGTCCTGAAGAATTGTGAAAAGTCCAGCTGCTGCTAACTCCAGCCTACTCCTCTCACGCAGCATAT